CCAAAACAGTAGATCCGGATAGGGAATTCCCATTGAACATCATGACAGTCCTTCTCAAAGCGTTTGAGACCTGGCTCTTGCTCGGGACTAGGGCGGACTCGAACTGAAGTCACAAGAAGCTACGTTCGGGTAGGGGCTGCCTTACGAACGGAGCAAGGACACTACTATGCCCGGGGCTCCTGGCATCGCCTCGCTACGCGCCCGATGTCATTCCGTCAGGATCCCATCTCCGGGCGCAGCGCGCGAGTGGAGCGCCGGGGCTACTTCGACTGCGAGGCGGGACCGGAGAACGTGGCGTCTCGGCGGGACCGAAGAGCGTGGCGTCTCGGCGAGAGGTTGGGCGGACATAAACAATGGTAACAAAGATAACAAAGGTACCATGTGCAGGGTCATCCTGTCTGGGTGTCCAATAGACTACCGTACCCATCCCTACCCTTACTTACAGGTCTCCAGACAGGGCACCCGTTGGAAGTGCTAGGTATACAAGCCTGGACCTGAAGTACTGGGTGTCCTGGACAGGGAGATCCCGGATAGTACTGGGTACTTGCGCTCGTAGTGTTGGGACTCCAGGTGACCCGGAAGATCGCTCGAGGGATCTCGAGGGTATATAAATATATATATTTATGTGGAACTTCCTGGACCACAAAGTCAAGGCTTACAATAAGGCTCACAAGCTGCTCCAACCTTTCCCCAGAAATTCACTCGCTTCAGACGCGGCCCAGCGCTGGCCGCGCGTCAGGAGTCTTGGGCGGGGAACCTCACGGTGACCTGTGCGGTGGACCCTGGGCGGCGTTAGGGGTCGGGTGAGGTGGAGCAACACACATGGAAAGCCAAACTTGGTGGACTCTATTCTGGAAAGCTGAAGAATTAGTTCATGCAACTATAGAAGGGCTATATAATATATATATATATAGTAGAGAGATGTCAAGACTTAGTCTTAGTAGAGACGTACGTAGTATTATGCGTAGTAGCAGGTTGTACCTGAACGTACCTGGAGTCTCTGTTGGCACCTTGCAACCAGGGTGCACAAATAGTTGGACCACGTATTTGCCTGATTTTGGGGTTCCCAGGGCATGTCACAGATGGGTGCGAAATTTCTGTCAGTTTGGGCTGACAGGGCTCCAGGCTCACTCTGGATTTGGCCTCCCTTTGTGTTTGGGGATGTGTTTGGACAAGTTGTCATGAAAAATACATCAAAAAACGTATAGCGGTGTATATAGATTGTTGATGTTTCACATTGTCAAAAGCCAGGGCAGGTGTGTCTACAACTGCATGTGCTTTGCCAAAAGATAGGACCATACCAATCACCCTTTCTCCCAGCAGCATGTCTTCCTTGCTGACAACATCACTTGCATACGGATCAGTAAGTGCGTACCAAGAGCAGAAAAAAGTGCTCTGCTCAGTGCTATGTAATAGTCTGGTCAGATGTCAATCAGTCATACAATACAGTCATATATATATATATACATATTTGGGATTAGCGCCATGTATTAGTCTAAATAGCTGAGCTATAGAGATGTTGGTTTGGTGATCTGCATTCATGTGCATTCTCAGGGTTCCAGATTTGCCTTCCAAGACTTATGAAACCTTCCTGGGTTTCACTGGGTTTCTGCGACTGAGCCACCGGATGAGCCTGCCCAAACAGGGCTTCAAGCCTGTCAAGTCACCGGATTCGAGGTCCAAGGTGTAGACTCCCTTCGTCCGAAGCCCATGGCGCCACCTGTGCAAGTGGTTTCACCGGGGGGGAGATACACTGTACAAAAACCCCGGTTTCACCCGCTCAAATCCATGGTTTCCGGGTTTACCAGGGGAGAGACCAACACCCGCTTCCACCGAACCCAGTGGATCGACGAACAAACGTCACCGAAGAATCCGAAGAAGAAGCCGGACAGGACTCGAGTCCGACTCGAGACTCGAGTTGGCCGAGACCTCGACGGGCGCCAAGCCAAGAGGATCCGGACCCGGTTGCAACCAGGGGTACCCAACGTTCGGATAGTCGAAGGTTCGGGTGACCTGACCCACTTCGGCTGGACCGAGGATCCGGACTGTGACTGGAAGATCGAGTTTGCCGGCTGTCGCCCCACTGTGCCCTGTGCACCGCTGGAGACCCCGCTCGCGAGTTCGAGGGCTCGACACCGGTGCGTGGCGGATGATGTGGGGCGATGTGGGCACGGAGAGGGTTCAGGGGGGTTCAAAAAAAACTGGGAGGTTGGACGGATTTCGGATGATGTTGACTTTCTCAAACTTGAGCGAAATGCCCTGGCATGGGGAAGATGCTGTTAGTTAACTTCGGGGTTCCTGGACAGCAAATTCAAGTTCAACCAGGGTTGCCACTACTTGTCATACCCAAGAAAATGGATTACCGAACAACCTTTTTTGGGGGATTGGGGGTGTTGCCCACTCAACATGAACAGGACATTTGACATCTAAAAAACTTGGTTGACAGCGAGATGCTCAGATCCAAGAACTTAATCCGTTGCCAAGCTACCTCGTATCATGAGAGTAGGGGTCTTCGAACTAAAGTGGTCGTTCATCTCACCTGTCCTGTACCTTTTGTTTCTCTAACATCCAAAAAAAGGACACACATGGATGAACACGGGGGTGAGTTGGCGGATGCTAGTTGTCCATGTTCTTTCACTCACGCATGGAGTGCAGCACCAGTTTTGTAGCTCGTTCACCCCCTACGGATCGAATGTCTTGTTTTGGGAACAACCCAATATAGCCAAACTCTCCATGGGACTGGTATATATGCCGATCAGTTGACCCCAGGTCAACCAGCCCAATGTATGTATATACCAGTCCCATGGAGTCTTTTGGATCGGACAAGTTCTCAGAAGGTGGGACTGGGGTGGGTTTAGATGGGCTGTAGAGGGTCCAGTCATACCGTATCGTTTCGGATGTATGACTGGAGCAATCCCTAGGGGTCCAAGTACCCTAAACCCTGAACCAGAAGGTGATTGGAGACACTGTTATGTAGGTTTTGGAGGGTCCAGTCGTACCTTCGAAGGTATGACTGGATCCCTAGGGAATCCACATGGCCAGTGGATGGAAAGCGGGAAGCGAATCCATCGGCGGAAGCTGACCAGTTCCGTCGAGGACACCGAGGACAGCGAGGAACCGAATGGATTTGGGGATTTGACAGTGTCCCATGAGGAGCAGAGTTCAGTTCCAGACCAGACTTATAGATGGGACATTAGGGCCATGAATATATGGATGTGATAAAATAAACGTCTGTAACTCTTCCCAATGGATGCTTTGCGGACCCCCGCGGACCGTTCACCTTCGAATCTCTCCGGTCTTCGTCGCCCTGCTACCGGAGGATCTGACCCTGCCACCCTGCGGACTCGTCGCCCCGAACTGCTGCTCGGACGACGGGTGGGTCCTGTGTGTGGCGAGGGCGGCACACGAAGAGGTCGAGAGATGGGGGTCCTAGACAGATAGCACCGACCTTGGGGAGTAGCTTGGGGTAACTTGTGTCATCAAACAACTGAAACTGCTGAACTAGAGATCCCTTTTTGGGGATCGCAGGGGAAGGTATCCCCGGTCATACGGTCAAGACAGAGGGGGTTCGGGGTTCACGAGTGCAAGAATTTCCAGAGTGGGCAGGGCACCACCAAAAGGTGCAAACCCTGAACTTCGCCGGGAGCAAAAGGCATCCATGCCGGCAGATTTCGGCAGTACTTGAGTGGTATGTGAATAGTTGTTTCTCCTCCCTTCCTCTTCTCCTCTCTTTCTCTTTTCCTCTCTTCCTTTTCCCCTCTCTTCCTCTTCCTCTTCCTCTTCCTCTTCCTCTTCCTCTTCCTCTTCCTCTGCCTCTGCCTCTGCCTCTGCCTCTGCCTCTGCCTCTGCCTCTGCCT